CTGCTGCATCATCTTTTGTCATTGGTATTCCTGCCTTGCCCCCCCCCCCCCACCACCATCCTTTTATCAGCGGAATGACTGCAGCCTCCCCCTGGTTTACCCCGGATACAGACTGTATTTCCGTTGTCAAGGTGACCTTGACTTTGCTCTCTGGGAAACATGAAGCTTCTCCTCATCCTATGGCCTAGGTTCTACAAGTACTGGTGAGTAACTGACCAGTGCCTTGTACGTGTATATATATATATATATATATACACACACACACACACACACACACACACATCATACATGCAAAATGATAGTACTAAAATTCATGAATTTTCACTTTCTGTATAACGTGCCTGCGCTGCTGTACCATGCTCATGAACGAACCTGCGTGCTTGCTCGTGCACATTTCCATGTGCACGCCTGCATGTGCACATGGAGCTCCCTGTCCCAGTCCCCTGCAGAGTGCACCAGAACAAGGCGGCGCTCTGCATGACCCACAGCATGCCACCGAGAGAATGAGTCATAGACATATTCAGTATGAATGTGGTGACATGCTCTAATTTACCCAGCATGCATGGGGCCAAGGACGCAGACATGCTCAGGGACCTGTCAGTGAACCTAGCACTCATGCTACAATAAACACCAAAATAAGTAAACAATTCTGACGCCTTTCCAAGGAATCGCTCACCCCTCCCCAAATTCTACAAAGATGATTAAACAATCTTTCGGTGAGCTCAGCTTCTGTTGGAAAAACGGCAACCCCTCCCCCCCCTCCCCACTGCAGCTTCTACATCACCCACGAACAGCTGCCATTGTCACTGTCACAACAGGAGACCCTGTGGCGTGAGCTTGGGGGCGATGAGCTCTGGCCAAACGTCACAGCTCATGTTTACCTCTGATTATTATCCCAGCTGTCTCACTGGTACAGGCCTTATAAAAAGCTACACACACAATCCTGCCACTGAGTCAGTGATTTTTTTACAGCAGTAACAGAGAAACATGCTGGTTCCTGAAGGTTAGCACAGCGTTAAATGCATTATGCAGTAGGGAGCGTGTCTCCGAGACACCAGCTTAGGGTATAAGCCTCAGGGGTAAAACCTCAGCCCAGCACAAAACCACTCCCTCTGTGTGCCCTCCCTCTAATTAATAATTAAATATTTTGGGGCTTTACAGTGATACTACAGGCTGTTGGCATATTGACACTAGGTGGCAGTTTAAGGTCTGTGGTTTCTATCCTTAACAATTAGTGTTGCAGAAGAAAAAAGCCATCCCAATGATATAGTATTTGCTTCTTCAATTATTACAGTAGGGCACTTTTATGCAACTAAAGATAACAGAATGAAAATAGAGGAAAACAATGCTTTTGTTTGCTGAACAGTAGGAAATTGCTCAGAGAATCTTGGGAACAGCAGGGCACAGAAGAATGAGGCATCTTCACAGTAGGATTAGATTCAACTTGCCAAGTCCAAAGCACATTTTCTCCCATGAGATCTAGGGTTAAATTATCTAAATATGTGCAAAATCTACTGCACCGATGGATACAGGGGATAGCGTCAGTGTCACAGCACCATGACTGCAGAATCGAATCCAAAAGGATTCCCAGGTTTCTTCAGGCTAAAGAAAGGTGATTCAGGTGAATTTGTGAATGCATTCTGATCCCACCAACATGACTAAAAGTGTGTGATCGTCATACTGATGCCAAACTAACTGCACAAGTGGTTACTGAAATAGGATGGATGTGATATACAGGATGAGTTCTAATAATCAGTGGTCATATTGACTGATGATGACCTTAAACAACTGTCCCGCCCTTGGCACTCCAATAGTTGTGTACCATCTAAACTGATGACAATATGAAAGCATTTTACAACAATCCATGTTGGAAAATAACTAGTTAAATTCTCTTATTAAGGACTTTGAATATTCACTGACTTACAGGCCCATATGCAATGTTTTCTACCACTTATGGATATAATCCTGATGACTTTTTGCTTTAGATATGTGTCTGGCAACCCAATGAATATACAGGTTTTAAAAACACACAAAACACACCCATCACCTCTTGAAGGACCAACATCTCATGGATGCTTCTTCCATTGGAATACATCAAAATATCCCACCTGCTGCCTTCCTTTCAAAACTAATCTTGCGTCTGACACATCCAGTAAGGAGCCTTAAACTTTGGAGCACAATTTATTGTAACTCATGTATTTTTCCAAAGTTGATTTTGTGTGATCCATCCATGCATTGCGTTATATTGCCAAGTTAAGAAACACGCTATCCTTTCAAGATGCAGAGAAAGTGGTTCATGCGTTTATTACCTCCAGGCTTGATTACTGTAATGTCTTATTCTCCGGCTGTCCAAATAGGTCATTAAATAAACTCCAGCTAGTCCAGAATGCAGCAGCCAGAGTCCTCACCAAAACTTAAAAATATGATCATATTATCCCAATTTTATCTTCACTACACTAGCTGCCAGTTAGATTTCGTGTTGACTACAAAATACTACTCTTAACTTATAAAGCTGTAAATGGTCTTGCACCGTAGTATATGAGTGACCTCATTTGCAACTACATTCTGAATCTTATGTTTCAATCGCAAGATGTAGGTCTTCTATTCATACCCAGAATAAAGAATGTAACTTTTGGGGGAAGAGTATTTGCTCATTAAGCACCAATATTATGGAATAAACGTCCTATTAGTGTTCGGAACTCAGACACAATCTCCACTTTTAAGTCAAGGCTTAAGACATACCTCTTTAGTCAGTCTTTTGGATAGTAAAATCCCCTTTGCTAAGGTGAATGGGAAATCTGAAGGTTCATGGTCATTTGAGATTAAAGGTGAAAGGGGGGGATTGGTGCTGTCGTCCTGCCACTCTCGCCGATGACTTAAACTGTTGACGGTAGTTTGACTTAACGCCAAAACCCCTGGAAACCCTCATGTCTGTGCTTCCTTCCAGGTTGCTCTTTTAGCCAGGCTGCCATAGTTACTTTAGTACTGCCGGAGGTTAGGTTAGGTGTAGGACAATAACTCTTCTCCATCTTCTCTGTTAGCCAGGCTGCCATAGTTACTTTAGTACTGCCGGAGGTTAGGTTAGGTGTAGGGCAATAACTCTTCTCCATCTTCTCTTTTCCGAGCTGATCCCAAGCCGACACTACACCGCTTGAACCCTCACCTGGACTCCTTGGAGATAATTACATGAAACCAACTGGGACTTTTAAAACTATATGGACTGAAATTAATGTCAATGCAGTTTCATGCTCCCCGGTCGCCCAGAGGAGGATGGGGTCCCCTTCCGAGTCTAGGTTCCTCTCAAGGTTTCTTCCTGCTAGAGGGAGTTTTTCCTTGCCACTGTCGCCTCAGGCTTGCTTGGTAGGGTTCTGGCCGGTTAAATGTAAAGTGCTTTGTGACAATGACTGTTGTTAAAAGCACTATATAAATAAAATTGAATTGAATTGAATTGAATGCAGAAACCAGCTCCAGAGAAATGTGGTCCACTTAGGTCTTTAATTGCACTGATCTGATTAAACCACGACTGCAAAAAAAAAAAATCTGCAAAACCAGATGACCAAAGGATTAAAAACCTTGACCAAAGGATTCATCAGCTGTTCTGCCAAGCTTTACATTACTTGCTACATTCTTGATTGCTACGACTATATTCTTGATTGCTATGATTAACTGCACAATAACAGTTTCAATTTTCTCAAAAAGCCTCACAGAATTTAAACAGAGTAAGAAAAAAAAAACAATTATCATAATAGACTAACGAGAAGCCAAAATTCATTTACTACATCACTGGTGTTTCTATTGTTAGAATTCACTGACTAAAAGAGGGGCTCAGCCTTCATCTGACATATTTTTGATGGAGGTCCACCAAAAAATAGCGTCTGCGGCAATCACTAATACTAAAGCTAGAAAAGTACCATGTAGTTTTGGAACAACAAAAAATTTTAAACAAGGTAACAAGATTGATTCTGTCATCTAGCAACATGTCACACAGAATGTTTGTCTAGACAACTACAGTTTTAGGTAGAAATTCCTACTAGTGAATCCACATCTTAAACATCAAGGAAAACTGGTAAATAATTTATACCAGATCACTATTTCCCAGTCTTATTATGCTTCTTAATTCCTTGTTAAGTTCCTCTCGACCTGAAGACATTGGTATTGTAGTTTGCGACTAGGCCACTATTTCTAAACAAAAACAAAGCAACAGAATGTGTACAAATGACAAGTAGTTAATCAGAACTGGAAGAGTGAGCGCGTAATCATTCTGGTAATAAAAAGCATCTAACTACTATAATGGAACATGCTTAAAAACCGGCAATTTGTAGGTGGCAGTTATAAGTTTCACTGGAAACAATTATAATCAAAGATACAGCTAATTATTAGCATTATGTAATACGGATTATTGTACAATATTGGAAATATATAAATAGTAATATCGCCCTTTACATTTTCTCAAGTAAGCCGTCCACCCAGTAAAAAGAATATAGCGTATGTGTGTTCTTGTTAAGATAATATTATACAGCTTCTATTGTATTGCACGCATTTATTCATTGCCCATAAGTACTACCAGGTAATAACAAACATTTCAAGTCTTCAGGATTTTCAAGAATCAAACAATATGTTATCTCTACTGATGCAGTAAAAAAAGTTATAGAATGTAAACACCGAACCGGCTACTGAACGACCGTCGAATCACAAATGTTCCAGAATAAACTATACACATCTTTCTATAGTCATAATGGGCAGTACATCGGAAAAGGCTACGTAATGCCGTTCCACCTTATACAGTGCTTAAACTTGAAATATGAAAAATACGCAAACGTCCATAAATTTTAGAAGCGACGGAAGTAAGCCGTTTTCATGGACAACGCTGATAAAGAGGACGACACACGCACACTAGGAGACACGCATATGACGGGCGCTGCATCACCACTGCAGCACCCAATACTCAGCACAAAAAGGTTTACAAACTTAAGAAAAGAACGTGCCCATGCACATTTTACCTTTATGCACCATATATCTGCAAAAAATACGCACGCATTTCCCATTCTGTATCCAGTGTTGAAAACCTCTACCCTCACTCTACGCCCTATTCATAAAACACTACGCATGCATACTGATCACAGTCCTTGGTGTGTCCTATATACATAAATAGCAACCAGAGGTGGAACCCTGCATCTTTCACAATCAAATTGAATCGGCTTTGCAGATGGAATTAATTGTAAAACTGATATAATAAACGCAAGAGGACAGCGTAGATCTTTACCTGTATGCCACTCCGGTATTGGTTCAACGATCCATGACCACGTACCCAGTTTCAGCACCCATTGATTCTCACTCCAGACTTGCGCAGCCGCTCGCGTGGAAGGCGCAGGTGAAGGAGAGGGGCACTGCGGCGTGAGTCTTCCGGAGCGCCGAGGGCCAGCGGGCAGCGCACAGACAGAGGCAGCTGCGTAACGTCTTCTTAAAGCGATACTCTTCTTCCTAAAAGCGCTCACTGATGATCTCGAGTGTTACAGTAGTACTAGAGTTACCATAATATCACTCAGTGTATGACTGTTGTATCGTGAAATCTGACGCGTATATTAAGTGATAAACAAATGAAAAGAACAGTTGCATTTTGATGGCAAATATCAGCGACTAGGTAGAGCATTGTGACCTTGGTAACGAAATATTTTAACTAAATTTATGGACGGTAAAATAACCCCCAAAAATAAAATTATTCCCCACTGTGGTACCCTCATTTCCCTTAAGCCTAAATAGAGGAAGGACATGGTACACAGTGCTGGTGAAATCAATTTCATTAAAAACGAATTCGTTCCGTATGCGGACGAATTGACCCTGGGCGTGGGGGGGGGGTTTGGCCACTGGGAGGTGCCTCCATGGGGCATCTGGTGTGGCGTCGATGCCGTGGGTGGTTGCCTTTAAAAATCTAAATGAAGAAAGGTGGAAATACAAAGCACAAATAATTAATAATTAAATATTTTGGGGCTTTACAGTGATACTACAGGCTGTTGGCAAATAGGAAATATGCTACTCAAGCATGCTAAACTGTGGATTCCTATCCTACGGGCGAACAGACCTGTAGATAGTATGGTATACCAGAAGAATCTGGAAAATTATTGTAACCTTCTTTCTTTGTTTACCAACCCCCCCTATTCTTCCAACATTCCTTTGTGGTCCTTATCTGATCTGAAGTTTTCTTTGTTCTAACATGCTATGTTAAAAGAACTGAATTAAGGTGTACATTATCCATTTTGGAGAAGATCAATTGGGATAAGCCACACCAATCAAGATATGTTGTGTCCAGATGTGCAACTTATATTGATATTACCACAAACTAACGGCTACACCTATCTAGGATAAGATGTGCTGCTGTTAATGTGAATATGTCATGTAATATAACCCCCAAACAAAGCGTAACATCTGTTGAGGTGCAACCCAAAACACCTGTATC